GGGGGGGGGGAGGGCTGGTTAATTTTGGGGGAGGGCTGTAATTTTTTGGGCGCCCATTTGGGGCGGGCCAACATTTTCCGGGCCCGCGTTTAGGGGACGGTCACAATTTCTGGGCGCCTTCCATTAACCCTTTGGACGATGTGCGCGTACTAATGTGTTTTGTGCTCTAAAATTTTAGTACTGCTTAAATACGACAGCCGTGCAAGATAATCTTCATAAAATCGCATACTCAAAGCTGAATCGCACGGTGAAAAAGCACTCTACTTGGCTGGAGATGAGGAGTGACTTCACGCGGAATCACTTGCTTGGCTTTGAAATGTCTTTGAAAACAGCGCGCGGTTTTAGTTTGGCTTTCCTTCTGTTTCTTATCGTTTTTTTTCTTGAGCAATTTCCAGTGGAATCAACTTCATCAGCATGTGATTTTCCTATATTATAGGATAACTGAGAGGCAGATCATTTCATAAAAGTTTTCTTTAACAAAAAGCAGCGATCAAAGTGCGCAAATAGTTGATGATATGGTATGATAGCTGAAAATGTATTTTTTCATATTATGACTTGTACGCGGACAGTATTTGTGTTTTTGGTAGATTTTGAAAGCTGTGGAAGCTAAGTTTGGGGAGGAATCACTTTTCTTTGTGGCAAACGTAGAAATAGAATTTTTACCTTCCATCACCAACATCGTTTGATTTCGGCTTTAAAAAGGCCCACACCCAGAACAATTTTATGAACATCACTCGATTTATTTTTATTCTGATAAATAAATAAATTCTGGTATGCTACAATGCCATTACCAAAGGCAGAGAATACGAGACAAAATCAGCTATTCGACTTGTCACGAAACACTGTTGCTCTACGGAAGCGCGATATTTCTCGCGTAGCCCGCTAACGGTTAACTTAGCTGGACTCATAGTGGTCCAGTTACTAATCCTATCTACACTTTTACAAAACTCAGTCAGTCTTAAACAGTAACAGTAACATTTTTTTTTTCTAACAAACGAGACATTAACGATTAACGATTAATCAATGTGTTCCAGTAGGGGCCAGTGTCTTCTGAACTGCTATTGTCGTATGTTGCAGTGCCTGAGTGACTATCAAAGACACCTCCTGATTCCTCCTCCTGACATTGTTCAGTGATATCACTATCATCGGCCCCACCACTGCTATTACTTTCACTGTTTTTGCTCTCATTGGTGCTACCTCTGTTGTCTTTGTCACTACTTTCATCATCATCATTTGCATCACTGCTACTCTCATTTCCAGAAAAACCCAACATTGTTCTCAGCTCTGATTTCGCGCTGTCATTCAAAAGTTTACACTGTTCAGACGTCAAAGCTACCACCCATTTTTGTTCTCTTTTTCCAAGTTCCTCGACGATGCCTCTACACAAACCCTCCTTCTCACAAGTCCTTCCCTCCGACAAATCTGGCGCAACCTTCTTGAGGATCTCAATGGTTCTGGCCACATGCCTCGCCTTTTTCCGCTTCGCACTCTTTTGGGTATTCTGTTTCCTTTTTCGTGATTTTCTTTTCATTGCAGAAAAGGAATGCTTAAATGCTGCTTTGCAGGTTTCTTGGAGGCGACTAACACTAGTGATTAAAGAGTGTACTTCACTTTTACATGTAAAAGCGTGCAATTCGGAAAGCTTTTGCTCATCAAAGTCATGCGCAGTTTTGTGTCCCGTTAAAAGTCTCAATGATGAGTAGATTGTTTTTTCTAAGTGTTCCTTTATTTTTTGCTAAAGTTTCAATTGATGTTACGACCTTCTTTATGTGTCAAATGTTCTGCTTTATCGTCATGGTATCGTGTTGCTTTTCTCTAAGAAGAAATCCAGCCTTGGAAGGATCCTTTGTAGATTTCAGTTGCTCTACCTGCACTCTAACTTTTTTTTTTATCGTCTTCTCATTGTCGTAATCCCTTCTCGTTTCTTCGTGGAATGCTTTCCTAAAGGCCTTCTTGGTGCCACTTTTCTTGAATAGAGACAATTTTCCTTCAGGAATTCAATATAAAGTGACAATGGGGCTGTCAGGGGTTCTCTTTACTTGGTGAAGCATCGGGTTTTGTAAATATTGTAAATAGCAACACTTTTTTCTTATATATTCCAACGAAATAATTGCCTGAAAATCACGCTCATACGGATTCTTGCAATACAACATTCGAATTCTCAAAAAGTTATCACAGGAGAGGGTTACAATTTTTTGCATTGGGCTAACATGTTATAAGGGGGGGCAAATTTTTGGGCTGTTAACCTAAGAGGGGCTAAAATTTTTGGGCGCTCGCCTTTAAAACAATACTGTCCCTCCCCTTCNCCCCCCTTAATAGTTAATGACCGCTCCCAAGGCTCCATCACCGAGATCAATAACAATTAGGAGACCTCACAACAGTCCAACTTTGAATTAACCACCAAACCTAGATCTGATTTATCCTACCAGCTCATCCTTTCGCCAAGCTTCATTTACGCTTTATCTGTTTTTCTCTTAGCTCCAGAATCTCTGACCATGTTTTGTCGCAGCATCTTGGACGCAGGCCGATCCCGATTTCTATGTCCTCATATCAGCCAGGACCAACCACCAGTTTATTGCGGCAAAGAATGGGACTACATAGATGTGAGACGCTTGGCTGTTTTGACAGATGAAGAAATAGAGGAGTTTGAGAAGAAAATCTCCAGGAACTACTTGATCAAGGCTATGGGTGTTCAACAATGTCCCAAGTGCAACTCGATGGTAGAACGAGGTGACAAAAAGCACATACGAGTAATTTGTCCGTTGTGCAGTAAGAACAAAAAGAAAGCTTATGAATTCTGTTGGCATTGTCTACACGAGTGGAAAAGTGGTCCGAGCACGACCAAGTGTGGTAAGTCGTCCTGTCATGCAAATTACACAAAAGCCTGTAAAGCCAAGGGTTGGCTATCTACTGTAACTGAACTCACAATTTAGCAATGCTCAATTTCCACTATGAGATGCACCTACAAGGAATCGTGGTAGTTCCATTCTTCATCTTGGACTAGGTACCGACTAGATATTTGTTTTGATCAATACAAATACCATGAATCCCTGCAGGCGCGTAAGAGGAATTGGCCATTTATCCACAGTGAACAGTCGAAGCTCAACTTGCGATGAGCTCCTAACCAACCATCAGGCGTGATAACTGGCTAGCCGCCTTTCTCTGTGACGGCGGCCAGTCTATGAGTTCCAATTGTGCGCTGATTAAAAAAACTTACTAGAACCTCCCCAAAACGGCTAGCCCCGCGCAAGGACCACTCTACTCTGTATCAAGGAGACCGTTATTGACAGGTTCGACTTTGTTCATATTTTATGTAAGGGCGTCACTTTCTGTCAGTGCCTTCAATGTGCCCTGTCACCTAAACTTTGTCTTTTCCCCAGGGAACCTTGACTGTTCCGGTGAGGACAGACGTCTGAGGATCCTTCGTAAATGCCCCAGGAAGAAAATTGTTGGAGTGGTGGGTTGCCCCTCCCTTCGCGCATGCGTATCTTGCGGCATGCTAATTGAGCATGTGCGGGCCTGTAAGCACATGAAATGCCGATGCGGCAAGGAATTCTGTTTCATATGCTTGAAGCCTAAAGAAGCCAGTGGCTGGCAGTGTGGAAGGTACAATGCACCATGCACTATAGCACCCGTGCAAACCAAGATCCCTGGAGAGAATTAGGACCGTGAAATTATCGTTCCATGACCTTGACTGATTTCTACAGCTTAGAGTAGACGGAGTCAAATTGGAAACGAGATTGCAGCTAGTTCCACCACAGCTTGTTACAGCTTTACATGTGTCAATGATAGGTTTAGAAATCTTGAAACTTGCAGCAACTCTCGACAAGCGGCGTTGTATTGTAGCAGTAGTCTTCTCCGATGTTGTAACTCTTTCGTTGTAGCAGAATTTGGTAATGTCTGTATATGTAATGGTAGCGACTTCGGCCTGCCTGGTAGCGAACATGTAGCGAGTCTGAACTTAGTGAACTCGACAAGTAGCAGAACCAATTTATTCATGCACCATAGAGTTGGATTTTTGTTTTTTCATCTTGAAAATCAAGTAGTACTA